CTCATTACCTCACTCATGTAACTGTAACCCTCTGTATAGTATCTTTACAATAAAAAAAAAAATCAAAAAAAAAAAAGAGCCAGGTGCTGATGGCTCACGCCTGTCATCCTAGCTTCTCAGGAGGCTGAGATCTGAGGATCACTGTTCAAAGCCAGCCTGGGCAGGAAAGTCCGTGAGACTCTTATCTCCAGTAGACCACTAGAAAACTGGAAGTGGCGCTGTGGCTCAAGCGGTAGAGTGCTTGCCTTGAGCTGAAGAGCACAGGGACAGCGCCCAAACCCAGAGTTCAAGCCCTATGACCAACCAAAAAAAAAAAAGAAAAGAGGTATCGTTGGGGTTGGAGGCATGACTCAGGTAATAAAGAGCAGCCTGTAAGCAGAAGCATCAGATACCAAGATCGAGTCCTGGTATCAGGTTTACTGAACACAGGTAGAGCAGCTGGAGTGGAGCTCAGTGGCAAAGCACCTGCCTAACAAGTACAATTTCCTGGGTCAGATCCCCAAAATAGAAAAGACAAGCTGGGCACCAATGGCTCACGCCTGTCATCCTAGCTACTCAGGAGGCGGAGATCTGAGGATGGCAGTTCAAAGCCAGACTGGGCAGGAAAGTCTGTGAGACTCTTGTCTCCAGTAAACCACCAGAAAACCGGAAGTGAAGCTGTGGCTCAAGTGGTAGAGCGCTCGCCTTGAGCTGAAGATTTGAGGGACAGCGCCCAGGCCCAGAGTTCAAGCCACGTAACTGACAAAAGAGACAAAAAAAAAAATAGGAAAGACAAAAAAAAAGAAAGAAAGAAAGCGGCGGGGAGGGGGGGCATTATAAGGATGAGGATCACAGGACTGGCCAATGCGACTTCACAATATCCTGGCAGACAGCAGTGCCATTTCCCCATCTGAGAAGGAGCGGTCAGGATGCTAAGTCAGGGAGAAACAAGGCTCTCACGCCACTCTGAAACCACAGGGGGCTCAGTGGGAAAGAGGCCTCGAGGGTCTAGAGCAGCAGGATGAGGATCAGGGAGACCTCATGCCTAGCTGTGGGGAGCAGTGGGGAGCCCTGGACACTGGGCTCTGAGGAAAGAGGTGCTAGGGTCTGGACTCCAGGATCAAGCAGGAGGGTTGGGGGGGGCCGGACGCCTTGGTGGAGGAAGGAAGGGTCACCCCAGGCTTTTCAGGCTCTGTGTAAACTCTGTGGGTGGGGCCAGGGCTGTTTCTTCCTCTCCCCACGGCCCTGGCCTTGTGGGCAGCCCATGCCTGGCCCACAGCCCAGGTGAAGTATAAAAGTGCTGCGTCTCCTGGTTAAAAGGGCACGGGGGGACTTCCAGCCACAGCCTGGACATGAGCCCTGCACCACTGCTGACTGTCCTGGTGGTCACTGCCTTGTTGCCTGGTGAGTGTGGGGGGAGGGGGGGTTTGTAGGAGTTCAAATTCCAGAACTTACTAAGGAGGCTGCTGTCCCCCCATCTCAGGTGCAGGGGCTCTGCAGTGCCAGAAAGGGTCAATCGAGACAGTGAGAGACGCCTTGGAGCTGCCCCTCAACTGGACAGCTGGCCAGGAAACCTGTGTGGTGGGCCAGGGGTGCCAAGACACCCTGATGATCATAGAGAATGGTGAGAGGTTCAGGGGGGGTCCTCCCTGCCATCCACTCAGCCTCACCTCTGCAGGACGCACAGCCTCACCCCTCCCCGGGATGATAGAGTCCTCATTCCCACTGCTTCTTGTCCCCCACCCCCCACCCCAATCCAGGACATCAAGTGAACATGGTGATCATCAAGGGCTGCACTGCGGCTGAGAACCAAGAGGCCCAAGTCACCAGGCACAGGGCAGGCCCCGGCCTGTCTGTCATCTCCTACCACCATGTGTGCCGCCATGCTGACTTCTGTAATGCTGTGTCCACCACCAAGGCCCTCGGGGATCTGTCTACCACCACAGGTGCCAGTGGGATGAGGGGCCGAGAGAGGAGGGCAGGGCGAAAGAGTTGACAGAGCACACAGGGACTGGTTATGTAAGGATGCGCCATCTCTCCGTTGATGGCACTGTGTGTGGGGGGGCTTGAACTCAGGGCCTGGGCATTGTCCCAAGGCTAGTGCACCACAGCTGGACTTCCAGTTTTTGGTGGTTCATTGGAGATAAGAGTCTCACAGACCATCTTGGCTGGACTGGCTTTGAACCATGATCCTCTGATCTCAGCCTCCTGAGTAGCTAGGATGACAGGCATGAACCACCAGCACCCACTTTCTTGTTCCTTTTTTTAATTCTTCCCTGGTCCCTCAGACTCCATCTCTTTCCCCACTCACTCTCTCCTCCCCACCCCACTGGCCACACGCCCCTCCCACAACACTTCCTCCAGCTGTCCTAGACTGATAAACCAGGAGGGCTTTATGATGCTAGATTACACTCAACTTCAGACTCAGGCCCTGGCTCTAACTGCTCCCAATGCAGAGTCCCACTTTCCTTTCTTTCTTTTCTTCTTCCTTCTCCTCCTTCTCTTTCCCCTTCTCCTCCTCCTCCTCCATCTTCTTCCTTTCTTCTTCTTGTCAGTCGTGGGGCTTGAACTCAGGGCCTGGGTGCTGTCTCTGAGCTTTTGCACTCAAGGCGAGCACTCTACCACTTTGAGCCACAGCACCATTTCCAGCTTCCTCGTGGTTCATTGGAGATAAGAGTCTCATGGACTTCTCTGCCCAGGCTGGCTTCCAACAGGGATCCTCAGATCTCAGCCTCCTGGGCAGCTAGGATGACAGGTGTGAGCCACCAGTGCCCAGCCAGAGGCCTGCTTTCTGTACCTCACTCACATCTCTTTTCAGGCTTAAGAGACACTCACTGGCCCTGGCACAGTCCCTTCTCTGCACATATGGCAAACACTCTGGGAGATGCCCTGTGTCTCTGAACTCAAGACATTTTGTTTTTTGTTGTTGTTGTTGTTGTTGTTTGTTTTTGTTTGTTTTTTTGGGTCCGGTCGTGGGGCCTGAACTCTGGGCCTGGGCGCTGTCCCTCAGCTCTTTAGCTCAAGGCTAACACTCTACCACTTGAGCCACAGCGCCACTTCCAGCTTTTTTCTTTTTGCTTATGTGGTGCTGAGGAATCGAACCCAGGGCCTCATGCATGCAAGACAAGCGCTCTACCACTGAGCCACCTTCCAGCCCTCAAGACATTTGGTGAACAGAACACGCTGTCTTCCTTGACTGTTTCGTAAAAATCAGAGGCGAAGCCATTGGATCCTTCCAGGCCATCTTCCTTCCCTTGGCTAAATCTTTGTCGCTCCCCACCCACACCTGAACCCCAGGACCCCTCCTGCCCTCAGCCCCTCAGGTGTCTGTGCAGATCTCACCCCCCCCCAGCCCCTGTCAGGTGACACTTGCCCCACATCGTAGGCTGCCTGCCTGCCTGGAGCCCAGGAGGCTTGTCCAGGAATGGGGGAGCAGGGAACTGAGAAGCCAGATTCTTGGGGAAAGCACGGTGCCCGTGTGGGGAAAAGGGAAGGAATCGGATTTAAATGCCTGTCCCCTCCCCAGCCCCAGGGACCCTGCGCTGCCCAGTCTGCTTCTCCCGAGGCCAGCCATGTCCTGAGGACTCGCGAGAACACATCTGCCCCGCGGGGTACACGCACTGCTATGATGGCATCCTCAAGCTCAGGGGAGGTAGATCTCCAGATTTATATCAGGGCCCCTTGGGGACTGAATGGGGAGGCCTGGGCATTCAGATCTGAGTGTTTGGGGAATACGGGTAAACTGAGGCACGGCATGGGACCCAGAAGGGAAGACAGGTTGCTGGCCTTCCCTGGGAGACTTGGATGGTCTTTGTGTCAGCCTCTCCATGTCTCTCCTCTTTCCTCTGCTCTAGGAGGGATCTTCAGCACTCTGCGGGTACAGGGCTGCCTGCCCAGGCCGGGCTGCAACCTCCTCAATGGGACCCAGACAATCGGGGTCATGGATGTGAGTGAGAGCTGCGGTCCCCGGTCAGGTGAGCCCCAGCCCCAGCCGGGGACAGCAAGGCCCGGCCCTGCCCCGCAGCCCTGGGGAAGACCACAGGATTGAAAGGCATCCGTGGAGGCCACGGGCCCAGCGAGGCAGCTGCTTCTCACCCACCCAGCATGTGCGAGGCCGGGAGGGGACCCCACATGAGCTGCAGGGGTTTGGAGGGTGAAGTGCCAAGCAAGAAGAGTCCAACTGGGGCTGGGAAGGTGGCTCAATGGTAGAGCGCTTGCCTTGCATGCTGGAGGCCCTGGGGTTGATTCCTCAGCACCACATAAGCAAAAAGAAAAAAGCCGGAAGTGGCTCTGTGGCTCAAGTGGTAGAGCGCTAGCCTTGAGCTGAAGAGCTGAGGGACAGCGCCCAGGCCCAGAGTTCAGGCCCCACAACCAGACCCCCCCCCCAAAAAAGAAGAAGAGTCCAACTGAAGAAGAGAGACAGGGAGTTTGGCTCAAGAGACTGCAACCCATGGGGAGGAGACTGAAAAAAAGGCTGGGTGGAGGACATTCAAGTGTTCTGTCCAGATAGGAGGGTTAGGGGTGCCGGGAGGAGGGCAGGGGTGCAAGGCGCAAGAACAGGTGCTTCTTTGCACGGGATTCTGCAGCCTCCACTTCAGAGCAACATGGTTGGCAGGGTGGAAGTCATTATGCGCTTGCAGACCTGTTGGTACACACCCTTGACTCTGGGTCGCCCTGGGTGACCGCACCTATTGCTTTCTGTCCCCCTCATCCGTGGTTTTGGGGCACAGGAAGGAAAAGCAGATTGCATAAGATGAGCAGGGGTTGGGCAGGACTTAAGTGAGGGCCTCCATTTATGCAAATGAAGGGTGGAGTAGAGTGTCTCAATAGAAAAGGCTAATAAGGCAGGGCACCAGAAGCTCACACCTGTAATCCCAGCTACTCGGGAAGCTGAGATCTGAGGATTGCAAGTCAAAGCCAGCCTGGGCAGGAAATTCTGTTCCAAGGAACCACCAAAAGCTGGAAGTGGTGCTATGGTTCAAGTGGCAGAACACCAGCCTTGAGAAAAAAGAAAAAAAAAAGCTCAGTGACAGCACTCAGTGCCTGAGTTCCAGTTCTGGGCCCACGACCCTATCCCACCCACCCCACCCCAAATAAAGGAGGTCCAATAGGAGTCTTCACTCCCCTTGGGAGCAGGACGATCCCTGGCCCTGCCTCAGTTTCCTCCCCTGTCCATGTCACCATGGAGTCTTGGAGTTGCAAGGAGAGAGTTGGTTCCAGCCAACACCCCTCTGCCACTAGACTGGGAGATGGGAGGATGGGGGCTGGGGCAGCCAGGAGCATGTTCTGCACAGGTCAGCTTGTGGCCCCTGGTGAGTGAGGTCCCACTGCTAGGGGCTGAGCCAGCATGGGGCGCTGGCTGAGGTGGTGGGGGGAGGGGGGGCCCGCTGAGACGGATCTGCCATCCCCATTTCAGATGCACAGCCCCTGGAATGCCAGAAGGGGACTCTGGAGATCGTGAAGGACATATCTGAGCTGCCCCTCCAGTGGACAATAGGGCACCAGACCTGCGAGGCGGGCGAGGGCTGCCAAGACACCCTGATGATCGTGGAGAATGGTGAGATGGGTCTCCCCCCCAGAGGCCGCCCTCCCCCCATCCGCTCTGCCTCCCTTCTGCCCTCTAGCATCCAGCTTCAGGGGGCGCCTGGAGACCCCTCTTCAAATCCCAGGAGCCCTGTCCTCTGTCCTGCTGGCTGAAAGCCTTGGGTTCCCAGAATCCCCCCACACACATACACACAGCCTGTGTGGAGGTGACAGGGGTGGAGTCCAGCTTTCCCTCCCACCTGTTGCCTTCCTCCCCCTGCAGGGCCTCGGGTGTACTTGGCGCTTTCCAAAGGCTGCACCACCGCCCAGGACCAAGAGGCCAGCGTCATGGAGCACAGGCTGGGCCCAGGGCTCTCCGTGGTCTCCTACAGCCTGGTGTGCAGACATAGGGACTTCTGCAATGGCCTGGCAAGCACCGTGCCCCTCTGGGCTCCGCCCCCTGACACAGGTGCCAGGGGCAAGCAGAAAATTCAGAAGGAGAGTGCTGCTCTGCGGGGAGGAAATGAGCACAGGCCTCAGGGGTGGAAGTGAGCACACAGGGCTTGATAACTTGCAGACACTCCCTGGCTGGATGGCAGCCATACCCCCCCCTCCAGGCTCCCCTCACACTGCTTGCCTGCCCTCTCTGGTCCCTCTGCCTTCACCCTTCTTCACTCTGTCTTCTGTACCCCAGGACTCCCCACTCCTTGCAAGTGTCCTGTCCCTACAAACAGGATGTACCTTTTTTTTTTTTCTTTTTGTAGGTCATGAGACTTGAACTCTGGGCCTGGGCACTGTCCCTGAGCTCTTTGGCTCAAGGCAAGTGCTCTACCACTTGAGCCACGGGGCCACTTCTGGTTTTCTTCTGGTTAACTGGAGATAAGGGTCTCACAGACTGCCGGGCGCTGGTGGCTCATGCCTGTAATCCTAGCTACTCAGGAGGCTGAGATCTGAGGATCGCGGTTCAAAGCCAGCCCCGGCAGGAGAGACCGTGAGACTCCTATCTCCAATAAACCACCAGAAAACCGGAAGTGACGCTGTAGCTCAAGTGGTAGAGTGCTCGCCTTGAGC